CGACTATTAAATCAGTCGTCGACGATTTTGATAGTCGATGTAATCGTGACTAGTCGACTAATCGTGGCAGCCCTACTTCACACAAACACTTTCTTCTTTCAGTTAAAGTGACGATGCTGTTCGTTATCAGCGTCGCAGCGCTGTGTGGTTCACCTCAGGTCACTGCTGTCCAACATGGACTAAAGGATCGAGTCCAGCACTCTACATAGTTCCACATGTGTGAAGATTGCTGAAGATATCGTCCAACAAAACACCCAGCTGTTCCTGCTCTCAGCACCACTGCAGACACGAGAATATGTGTTTAACGTTTCTCTAAAAAAAACCTGCTGTAATCATAAGAAAATAAGACTTTTTATTGAAATTACACTAGTGTAGCGATTCATCGTGTGTTCTGTCGATGGAAGCTTATTGAACTTGTATTTCTTTACATTCAAATAAACAATACACACTTTGCTCTATTTTTTTGCCCTAAAAACATAAAACACAAAGCCTGTAAAAAAAAAGAAAGAAGAAGTTAAATTTAGGATAAAATTCAATTTTCTGTAAGCTCCACCCCCAAATTCCAAATCGACCCAGAAAGGTGATTTTTACTTATTGAGTAACATATGTGTGAAGATAACCTGATGAAATATTAATCATGGCACTAATATCAGATGAGCCCTAAAAGTCTTCTTCTTCTAAATACTCATTCTTTTATTTTGAAGGAGCACAGTGCTTCCTGCTGTTAGACTCTGCTGTCTGTGTGGATAAAAACTTTGCCAATAGTTTGAAAAGCTCCGGATCGCTTCAACCTCCCTGTCCTGTGACCTGTTTCAGATGTTTGCGGATGAGCTGACGGCGGAGAGGTGGCGTCTTTACGAAAAGTAGCTCACAGGTAGTTCCACATTTGCTCACGCTGCCCCCTGGTGACAGCGTACAGCTACAACATGTAGACGGCGATGTGCACCTGCAGACTGCCGACACACAAGCCTGACCTTTAAAGTGCTTTTTATATCAATTCTGTTCATTTTATGTGGCTTTGTTTGTATTTTTAATTTGTCACAGATTCTGTTGATAACATGGAGTTTCTGGCCGCAGGGCGGAGTGCGTCGCCTCTCTCCAACCTCCAGCTGACACTGGGCTGGTTTGAGGTCATGCTGTGAGGTGGGAGAGCGCGGAGTCCAGGCAGGGAAGGAGTTACTGGCCCGAGTGGAGGAGTTTAGTGTGTTGAGCAGAGCGAGAGGATTCCTGCAGTGGTGAGGACGCTGTGCCGGTCTGTGTGGTGACGAGAGAGCTGAGCGTGAAAGTGAAGCTGAATGAAACGTGGTCCAAAACTCTTTCAACAAGATTAGGAAAAAGAAAGTTTGTAACTTTGAACTTTTCTAATCCTGTAAAAATAATCAGATAAATCTTGAGGATGTGAGCAGAGCGGGCTCGGCGGCCTGAGGACCTGCGAGGCGTTCAAAGACACGGCGCCAGGTATTTTTAGCTGAATTTAATGTCCGATTATGCAGCTGCGGCACAGGTTTATCTGCTCGTGTTTCACGGGTTTTTATCAAAGCTGCACCTTTTACATCTCCTCCCTGAGCTTTATCGCTTCTTCATCTCATCACCCCACACGTCTGCAAATCAGCCCAACTTCAAAGCAAATATTACAGATGTTTCCCAACCTCTGGCTCATGTGCTGCACAGAAGTCTCTGAATGCAAAACAGGTCCTCACCGTCCACTAACAGGCAGCAGGGAGTCACATGACCCCTGTGACTTTAAACTGATTGGCTACACGGAAAAGAAGATGCTGAATTTATGAGTATCTGGTTTTGCAAACCTAAACTAAGCATCTATAACAAAACAAGAATAGATTTTTAAAAACTGTGCTCAAATAGAAAGAAAGATCACGTGAGACACAACAAAGATTACACAGGGGTTAGAAAAAGATGCAAAAGGGGCCAAAACATTAAGCAACATGGACACAGAGGGGACGCCCAAACTGAAAACACCAAACTAACAGATGCACAAAAACTAACTAATAAACCGAGAAGACGTGCAAAACGATCACAAAAGAGTCAAATAGAGATCTCAGAGAGACATGAAAGGGGGAAAAAGCGGTCACATGTGCAAAATTGGATGTAAAATGAATGAAAACTGAAAAAAGTTGTAAAATGTTGAGACCGGACATAAAAACCAAAGTTATTAAAAACATGTAAAATGATCACAAAAAGAAACAAACAGGTGAAAAGAAAACACAAAGGTGCATAAAGAGCCTGAAATGGTCCCAGAAAAGACAGAAAATGATGAGTAAAAAACTAACAGACAAAAACTAAACAGGTTAAAAGTAAAAAAGAAAAATATTGTAAACTCTGGAAATAAACAACAAACTATCACAAAGATTCACAAACGAAGCACAAATTCAAAAAGCTGACAGGAAGGTGCTGCTGAGGTCACTGTGACGTCACCACAGGTGGAGACGGATTAAACGGACTCACAGCATCGATGCTCTGATCAATAAACACAGAGAACCATAAATGATATCAAAGCACGAACATCCTTCATCCTCGGAGAATCAATCATAGCCGATGCTTTATCGATCAGGTCGAGCTGAGAAGTTTTTCCTCTGCAGGGATAATAACGAACAACTCGTCTCTGTGCGTGGCTCATATTATGAATAATAATGATCCATCACATCGATTAATGAGACAAACACACAAAGCGATTAAGGACAAACATCCGTCTCCAGTCGGAGCTTCACTGGCTGCGAGGAAACGTCAGCGCTACTGAAGCTTCTCCTGCTTTTTAAAGTACCCGTGAAAAATCCACAGACAGTCACAGAGCTCACTGTGGGGTCATAAATCAACACCTGTGCTGTTTCTCACAAAGAAACACGAATACTCAATGTCCTTTCAAAATAAAGGCCCAGTCCTTTCATGTCCACGGGACTCAGTAAATTACGTGGGCTCATTTCCACATATCTGAGACACACTCAGCCAATAGGAGCACTCCAACATTTACATTCACCCCATAATTAAAACAACTGATGAACAAAGCAAAAGAAAACAAGACTACATCCCTCACCCATCCATCCCTCACCCATCCATCCCTCACCCATCCATCCCTCACCCATCCCTCACCCATCCATCCCTCACCCATCCATCCCTCACCCATCCCTCACCCATCCCTCATCCATCCATCCTCCGTGAGACTAAAGACATGAGGAGGAGAAGATGAAAGTGCTTTGACCCTGAGATGCTCAGAGTGCTGGAGTGAATCCAGCTTTAATCACGTCTCTGTCATCAGAAAGGTTAAAGAATCAGGCAGGAAGTCAGAGTGGAGACATAAACAATGAAAGAATGATGAGTAAAGGCTGTGAAAGATGAAGCTCTGAGTTTTTACCTGCTCAGATGTTCATGAAGAAGAAGAAGAAGAAGCTCCAGAGCAAGAAAAGCATCCAAAGTTTCCGCTCAGCTCAGACGGACTGAACTGAGATCAGCTGCGAGCGTACGGACACACAGCTTCATCTTCAT